GAGAACTATGTGAGAGACGCGGAATCGACGTGTATTGTAGAGACTATGTGGCCGTCAGAGACGCGGAATCGATGTATTGTAGAGACTATGTGGCCGTCAGAGACGCAGAATCGATGTGTATTGTAGAGACTATGTGGCCGTCAGAGACGCGGAATCGACGTGTATTGTAGAGACTGAGGGCGAGTGAGAGACGCGCAATCGATGTGTTTTGTACCCTCCAGCTCTCCCATAGTCTCTACTCCCCTGCCGCTGCAAACGCTAGCAAAACGCTGGTGAAACGCTGGAGAAACGCTAGCGCTAGCGTGACGCTGGGAACGCTAGATCGATATGCATCCTCTCCCCGGCACTGCCGCTGGCGTACGCTGGAAGCGCTACGCTACGCTGCGCTACGCTACGCTACGCTGCCGCAAAGTATAAACGCAGCCTAATGTGGAACTTAGGTTACAACGCTAAAACAACCTGTAATGTTCACCTTTGACAGATCCAGGCTTAATAGCATATCCATCAAAGCGTCCGTTAACACCAATCCTTTGATTATGAGGAACGTGCAGATTTGGGCTGGGCTAGAACAGAACAAGAGCACGTTTCAAACAGTGCGTATCATGACAACAAATTGAATGCTTCTCATGCGTCTCAGAGTCTTGTTCTCCGCAGATGCTGCGGCATTTTAGGGGCAAGGTTTAACGCAGCGCCTGCCTATTCTCCAGCAACTGCGGCAATCGGTGGAGATCAGAATGGCGTCGCACCGAACCCAGTCACTTTGAAACGCCCCAGCGTATGCATAGAACAAGGTTGTATGTCATGATAGCTGATGTGAAGTTCCAAAACCACAGTGAGAGACAACCGCTGGCATACTACGGACGAAAGTATCTTCAGAGATAAGATGTCATGTAAAAGCAGGCCATGGAACTAGTGAGAATTTTTCACAATACGACCCTTCTATGTCTGTCTAGCAGGGTAGAGGCAAAACCGGAATCACCCAATCAACTAACGAAAGTAGTAAAGTTATGCGTAGTTACCGTGCAGCCGAATAGAAGAAAAATTTCCCACCAAGCAGAATACGACCACTCCCCCCCACTTCCGCGATAGGGAAACTCCACCACACGCCTTGCCCTGTAGCTGCCCTGCACCCGAACTGTGAGACCTCTGTTTCGAAGTTTGAGCGCACGGCAGCTTAGAACTCCAAATAATTACTTCATTGACTCAACTTCTCGAAAATCTTCGGGTCTTGCAAAACCAACGGGAATAAATTTTATTGATTTCTCATTCGACTAAATTGTCAGAAGCTGCTCGAGATATCTGAAGTGACCAGTGACATATTGGGTTTGTATTGGGGAACGCTTCTAGTCCGAACGTAACGTGGTATCCCACATCATAAGCATCACGTTTGAGTAAAGAAATCATAAATTATTGCTGTTGTCTGACCCAGTGATTCATGTACACAATAAACAAAAGCATGACTCACAAAATCGCAGAAGGAACCTCATTGATCACCACGCACTTAGAAAAATATCGTCTACCACTTTCACCATATATGTATGCGACAACATAACCGCCGTAATTTCGATCGCGTTCCACCGGAGCCTACAAAACACCGTCACAAATCGCGTTTATAACAGCTTCCGATCACCAAGTAATAGTTGTATAATCAACAAGCAGATTATTACTTGTAATCGAAGCCCAATCGACGGTTTAGGTAAGTGTTGATGAAATTCGTTGATCACATCCCTGAACCTCTTGCATACACATCGTAACCGATACAGCCTCTGTAGAGAACGGCAAAAGTAACAAATTTCAATGGCCAAAATAAGATAAGGAAACATTCACCTTCACAGCTATGATTCGGCGAGCTCCAAAAGGATAATTAGACTGCGACGCTTGGTTAGTGTATTCGATTGGATTCGATATGTAGCCGAAAATCTTGAGCAGAATGTCGCTTGGAAGGTCGGTGAAGTTGATAGTCTAAAAAAAGTTGAAGAGCACTTAACATCCTTTATCAATGAAAATATGGTTTCTCTCCCTACTCGCAGCGGCCGTGGAATATATGGATGCTCATGACCTTTCAAAAACTCTCTTCCGTAGAAAAAATGAAAAGTGGGTTGTAATTATATTACCTGTACCTTTTCTTCACTTTCTGTTGTCTTCTGTTTTTGCTTTACACTCTGCTTTTTGTTTTTCTTACTCTCTTCGAAGAGCTTAGAGATCAATTCCGCTTGCTCAAATGTTGCACGAGGATTGTATACCCGCATACGTCTAAATCTCTGGGACCAGTGACCTAAAACGAGCGAAAAGTCAGAGTATGCCATAAGTAGTAGGCTTTGACCTGAACTTTAACATAGGGAAAGATGGCGCAATACATACCTAAGACCTGTAGGATTAATATGCCTAGCAGGGCAGAATCTGGGGCCCTTGAAGAAGCGCTGCGTGGCGCCTTCTCCAAGGAAGGTACCTTTATAGCGCCCTATCAAGCTGCAACATACCGACCGGACGCCCACCGCGCCCGCCCGCCCACAAATGTCCGACCGATGCTGGTGCTCGTGTCGCTTCATTTGCGAAGTACAATATGAAGCATAAAATGAAGGGATCGAAAGAAGCGGCTGCATGCATGGACATATGGGTACGTACATGCAGCCATATCTACCGTAGCGGTTATTGCCACGATAAAAACGGGAAACTCGTCCTAAACTGCTTTCTAAATCGTGCAAAACATTTTTGCAGGTTTTTATCATTTCACTTCGCTTTTTCGCCATTTTTTCCACTATAAAGCACTCCTACTACCATTTTAGACCGAGTTCAAATTATCGTGCCTTGGGTTTTTGAAAGCGACGAGAAACAAGGGATAGCAGTCCACAAAGACAAGTAGTAGCACAGAAGCAGCATAGCATCCGCTAGAAAAAATAGACACAAACTTTTACCTACCAAATGTTTCACAGAGTAACAAAGCGTGAATATAAGATTAAGACTGAACTGCATTATCTGACAGGATGAGTGATCACAGTGCCACGGTTCAATCTGCCTTCCACACAAATGCGTAAAAAAAAAAATGCCTCCTGCTGTAAGGGTTCTAAACATGCCAGAACTGGACATTCAACTCCGAGAGCGGTAACATGTGGGGGGGGGGGTGAAGGGTCCGCCGCCACAGCAGCGTGCCACTTTCTCTGATCACAAACCGCATGGGAATGAGGCTGAAAGGTGATGGTTTTTTTTTTACCCAGGGGCGTATACTCCTCCGTCTTCACCCGCCTCATATACAGTACACCAACGTCGAAACCAAAATCCTACATCTAGCATGCAGCCAGAGGTAGATAACATTCAAAAGTGAGAGGGAGCAGATAAGTGACGCGTTTAGGCTTGTGGCCGACAGTGCGGTAAGCGGGCGTAGCATGAAGAGCCCCGTACCTGGGCACTTTTGAGCGTAGCAAAACGCACGCTACAGCAGCTATACTTCGCACAGCAAGAAGCAGTATCACGAAGGTGATTGTACAGTTTTTCTTTGAAGGAATGTCTACATAAACAGAGCCTTCAAGATTTCTTCCGTACGCTAAGAAAAACTCATATAGAACTTCGAAATGTTCATAAGGATGTACCCCGGCATTTTTTATGTTGCTCACTCTATCTCTCTTTCTCTCTACGTAAAGGAGACGTCGCACCACTACGCCTCTATTCCTAAGCGCAGCCCCAGAAGATCAGTGCGCATTGTGAATATTGTCGTTGAAATGTAAAAATCAAAATAAGGCAGAAAGAGTGTTAGCAAGAAATAAGATCACAAACCAGCTGAAAGTGATGACAAGGAGAAAGCCGTGGTAGCGAAAGTACTATGAGAGTAACTGAAGATAAGATTCTACAACTCGGGATGAATGAAGGACCGTTCATGAACAGAACACCCTAATAGTACTTTATAAATGTGCACATGATTCACGCACAAGGTGAGCGAAAAAATGCAATACCCCTTCCGACCTCAGTCTCAATCCTCTCACCTCACTATAGTCTGGTTCGCTGCGGATGATGGGGCATGTCCGCGCGGATGTGCCTGAGCGCAGCCAAACCCTTTCTCCACCAATTGCCAAGATGGGTAAGTAAAAACAACAAGTGGAGAACGACTGATTAGCACGACATATTACAGTATCATCGCTTGCCAAAAGAAAAAAAAAGAAAAAATGTTGGCACTGCGCGAAACGCTGACACGTCCCAGCATCCGAGCGAGCAAAACTATATCTAGACTAGGGTATATAGACAGCAGTTGTTCCAATAATATAGAGCCAATCGTGCCGATGATGACACCCTGCACTAGTGTGACCGTTATGCCTCAGGTTCTCAAGTGCGGTCTCAGATAGGTGAGGTGCTGTATCCGCAGGGGATATATTCAACCCTTTTCAAGGAAGGGGGTATCCAACCACGCACTCATTTCTATTCGTCCAGAAACACTCCGTTCTCTCCATTCTGGTCACCGCGACGATGATCACCTCCCGCCCCATTGCTGGAACAGTCAGAACCTATCCCACTTCTCCTGCTCGTTAGGAACTTTCCATCATCCAGCGCTTTTGGAGCATCATCCCTCCCTTTACTTTCCAACAAAAAAAAAAAAAAAAGAACAAGAATGAAAAACTCACCAGAGATCGGCGTTTTTGTGAAGCGCCTTTTACCCATATTTTTGAAGGCAGGACGAAGTGACTGAAAAACGTACTTCTGGGAGCAACGAAATCCAGAGGCTTAATCTATACTTACAGTACACAGGATGTATATGAAACAGGTCAATGGCGGAGAACGTGTTATTAGGTCCTTGGATAAAGCGTATAAAGCGGAAAACGTTCAACCCTGCTACTTCTGTGTCACATTCACCATTCAAAACTGAAGTGGGTAACCACGCCCTTCAGCACTTTCGCATATGGATGTACCAAGACGCGGTATGAAACATACGCGGTATAATAACACAACGGCAACGCAAGACGCTCCGGCGGTAGAGAGCAGCCACTTGCCCCCCCTCCCCAACATGATTTGATCCCTTTTTTCCAGGATTCCTGTTAAAAGCGCGCCCGGAGTTCAAAAGTGAGGAATTGTGCTGCTCAAATTCTAATAACGGTAGCAGGTGATCTGCCAGTGAAGGAAAAAAAGGACCGCCTAAAGGTCCCCATAAGAACCCCTATGGGACGGCGCGTTCGCACGTTCATAAGCGAGAAAGGGCCGTGTTCCTGGAGAGTTCCGCGCTTGCTGCCTCCTCTTCCTCCTTATCAACCTTAAAACTCCACGCTAACTCTCGGCCATTGAAACGGTCCAGAGATCCACTAAGCGAAAAACGCTCACCATCATAACCCTAAAAAATGAACTTCTGGATGCCGCGGTCTGTGGGGGGGGTGGGGGCAAATGGTTTCCGTAACGTCGAGCGGGCGTGGCCTTCCTCTCGTGTTTTTGAGCTGCGAAACTATTTCATCATCCACCCTTACAGTGGGGACTATCCTGTCCAAAGAGGGGCCTGGACAAATGAATGCAGACTGTCTTTGAGATAGCGGTAACGGAAGCCCTAGATTAAATAAAATTCCAAAGCGATTATCCGACATTAAAAAAAGAAGATGTCTTTTCAACACTTACCCCCATGCTCCTGGTGACATTTCCAGAACTATCCTTGCTTACTCTGTACCGCTCATTCTTATGTCCCCCCCTAGGTTGCCCTACTTCACCGATCACAGCCTATGGTATTTTGAAACAATATTCAAAAGCAGGTTAGTAGAGTAGGTGAGCGCTTCGAAGGTAAGAAAAGCCGTCCCCATGGAGCGAACAAGCTTTGAATGGAAAACCGGTGTTCACCCACGCTAGCTAGAAAGAAAGAGTGCGAAACACGGAGAAAGGCAGAGAAACAAAGAGACAATAACATATGCACGGACCGATAAACATTACGACACGGACATTGAAGGGGCGTAGATAGCATATGCTTGACAACTCAATCTTAACAGAATCACAAATCAATGTTAAAACATTAATTTTTATGTACAAATATACAATATATACTATAAGATTGGATCTTATTCTCGAAAATTTTGCGCTTTAAGCTTAGACAATTCATCCAGGTCACTGTAGAGCTTCTCCTTTCGAATTTCTAGTAGTAAATCTTGCCTGGAATTATAAAAAAATTACTCGATATGACAGAGGAATTGTTGTTTGCTATGTACAAACCTCTCGTCATGCTGTAACCAATCGCAAATTCTGCCAATCAACACCGTGCAGTGAATATCAACAAGAACACCGTCCTACGAAATGGGAAGTCATTGAAGAAGCCCAAATCTTGCACCATCATAATTCATGAAAATTTATTCAATATACATAGTGATTAATCCCCACAAATTCTATCCCGCCGCCGTCACGTGCGTGGAGTTGAACGTTTTGGACTGTTCCAAAAAGTACCCAGTGCGAGGGTGCCACGTCAGAGCCTGGCGAGCTACGCGTGGTTTAAACTTCTTATCGCCGAAAACAGTAACAGTTATGGGCCTCATTCCCCTGAACCTGAGGGAACCACCGACAGGGCGACGTCCGGCTGGGACCGCTCGTAGAGCCGCCAAGAATCAACAGGGCCAACAGTAGATTTAACGTCGCTCCAGGACAATACACTGTACTTTATCACACGCACGGACGCTTGCATCGGAAGCTCACATCGAAGATCTGATGTTGCAAGCCAGGAAAAGTACGACGCTATCGGACTGACCGAGACGAGGAGGCATCGCTCGCTACACGCCGTATACGAGACTGGAGAAGAACTGTTCCTCGGAACATGCGAAGCAAGCAGGATCGTTGCGGCTGGTGGCGCCTCCGTCAACACCGAGCTTGGGCCATGAACATCGATTCGTACGAAAATCTGACGACCCGAATCGGACGTTTGCGACTGAGAAGATGTGGTTCAATCCAGCTTTGACAATCTTCGTCGCCTACGCACGGCAAACATCAAGCTACGACGAAGCATATCACTCGAATCGTCATATGGAATTGGAGAATTCTAACCAAGGAAGATCATACCTCTTCAAGGCGCATCTGTCGGGAATTTCGACCGCTTAAAGATCGGACCAAGAAGAATCTGCTGGAACCTTAACATCGGAACTGGAACGGATGGAATGTAGCCCAAAAGGAGAAAGGTCTGTCTGAGTTTATCATGTCTCGACCATACCTATCCTGGAATCGCAAGTTTCAGAAGCCTACTCTCTACGATGGACAGACGTCTGCCGGTGACAATTCCATAACGAGATCGATCACATTATCTGCAATCGAATGTTTTGCCTGACCGATGTCGCTGTTGTCCCTAAGTTCTACACGGGATCCGACC